CTGGAGCATGAAGAAACTACTCAGATCCAGCTCCCTGCATACTTGTCCTGCATACCTTCCTGCCAGAGCACTCATGGCACCACACAGCTTCACTGCACCTGGATAGCTTTTCCCTTCTGAGATAACCAAAACTCACTGCCAAGAAAAATAAACATACAAACTTAAAATTCATTTTCCAAGTTGTACATTTTCCAATCAAATGCCATGTTAGTGACATGCACAGTAACAGGCAGGCATTTGACTATCAATAGATCAGACTTAAAAACACATTAATATTTCAGGTATCAACAATGGAGTATTAACACGCTACCATTTTTTTTCTTGATTATCCTTATGAGAATTCAATGCTCTAACAATAAAACCCTTTCAAAGCAGAACATAGTGTGGTACTGTATGGCAGAAAAAATGCCCTGCAAGGTCAGATGACTGGTCCCATCTGTCCTAGGACCTGACTTCCACCAGTGCTATTTAAAGATACTGGTTAGGGAAAAGTCTGCAGCCTGGCTGCTTTTGGGGTCCATTCCTCCTGCCCCATCCTCCCTCCCCCATTCACAATGATGTTACAGGGCACACAACCTTACTGTCCATTAGCAGTTCTGTTTTTATCTATGAAATTATCTGACCTCTTCTGAACCTGCTGATACCCTTACCTTTGCTACCTACCATGGTAAAAAAATTCACTACCTGGAGTTCCAAAAAATGAAGGACTACCTTCTTTTCTTTGTTTTAAACCTTATCTCCTACCTTCACTGAGTGCCCTCTAGTTCTTCCATTGCAGCATTTGGAGGGCAACAGTTTCACATCTGGCTTTTTCATCACTTTCATGATTTTGTAAATCTCAATGATAAATATCTGTCTTTCTCTAAACTGAAGAGTACCAGACTTTTCAATGTCTCCTCATATGACGGTTGTTCCAGTTCCCCAAATTGTTTCAGTTGCCATTTTCTGCAGCATCTGTAACTGCACTAAATCCATCTGGAAAAGCAGAGAACTGAACACAGTACTTCTGATATGAGTCCAATCAGCTTTTATTAGTAGCACAGTGACATCCTTGATGAGATAAATCTTCACTAATGTCAAAAATCCCATGTCACTTTCAAGAGAAAAGTTATTTCTTTGTACAACAGAGATAATTCCAGCTAATACACCTGGCACAGGAAGTTATCTTTGTTCTCAATAGTTTGGGATTTCTCCTGCAGAGCAAGCCAACAGAGAAAAGGCTAAGTGTAAGTGTACTGTCCAAGGAGCTACATCCGGAAAAAACAGCATAATATTTGAATAGCACTTCCTGAAACACCTAGACTTCCTGGAATTAATAGTTAAAATTCCAGAGGAATTGATAAAGTTCTTTGACAATCCAAGCCTAGCACACTTCTGCCCAACACTACTGTGTACCTTTCAGGGAAAAATTTTAAAGGTCCTATCTGCTCTACATCGATGCTTGAGACCTCTGGTCCATTTTTATAGCTATATGCCCTGTAGCTTCCCTTGCTCATGGGGGCCAAATAAGAGCCAAATGCTTCTCTCCATTCCCAGCTACATCCACTTAAATGGTATAGTCTACGGTATAACAAATCCTTCCCTATTGTAAGTTTACTTTGTATTAAGCAGAAATCTTGGAGTGGCAATGGGTTGCATTGATTTTCATTTAATGTCATTAACTTCCATGGAAGTATCTGGGTTAAAGAGAGGCAGCAACTATAAAAGCATATGTGCACAATGTAATCTCAAAAGAAAACAGAAATCAGAGTCTAGCAGCAGGAACAAAAGGAAATATATCTTTGTTCCAGCTGCATGAGCCACCCAAGCACTGAGGAGAACAGTGCTGACATGTCCCCGAGGCTGTGCACGACAGCACTGCAATGTAACCACAGCCTTGCCTTGGCCTCACTTTGGCCACCACATGCCCAAGTCAAAGTGGCAGTGAGATGGATGGATCCCAGGCAGTTGTGCTCAAGTGTAGAGAGAGAGATGAGGCCCCATGTCCCAGTGCAGTCCTCACAAGAAAAATGAGGTCTGGGCTTCACAACATGGCTGGCAAACAACCTCTGCAAAGCATACACTCATTTTTAGATACTGCAAATTAAAATGTTTTGTAGGAATGCACTTCTGCAGTTTCCTCAGCTCCCTCTAAGGTTCAAAATATTTACAAACATCAATACTTACACAAAGGTAGCACCACTAAACTAACACTGATTTTAAAGAGACTACTCGCACAGTGAAGATGTTCAAACACATCATCAACAGCCATGGCATATTAACTTATCAACTGACTTCAGCTCTCTCAGAAGAGAAAAGTCTTTATTATAATGTGTTTTGTATAAAACCAGACTACAGTTTAACCTGCAAGGTCTCTGGTATGTTCCTTTCTCAAATCTGCAAATACTAGTTTCACGGAAGAAGTCTGTGCCAAAGTATATTATACCTACTATGGCAATAAATTCTTCATGGATGAGGTTTTACACATAAATTACCTTCATTTGCAGTCTCTGAATGCTCTTCTAAATTTTATGGGATAATATGAATTATGAGCACCCATGTATTTCTTGTAGCTATATTGTGAGACACATTTTTTCTACTACTTGCAAAAGATTATGCAAGCGAGTTATACTCTACACCTCTCTCCCTCCACCCTCACTGAACAAATGTGATAACACAAACCAGTCAGTTGCTTATGAGAAGTGTTTGGTCTGCTATAAAGATATGTATGTATTAGTTAGTCTAACTAGGATTAAATGTAAATCATAGTTAAACAAAAACACTAAATATATCAGAAAGTTTTTTCCTAAACCTTATAATCTTAGGTTTCTTAACCATGGCTATTTCTTGGTTTAGTTATTGGGTACATTTATGGTTTGGCAAAATAACTGTTTTCAAATAAACTGTACATTTAAAAGCACAATTTATTTGAAGATACCATTGTAATTTTTACAAAACTTGGCTGGGTTTCAGTGGCTGGGCTTTAGCTATTTTGCTGGTTCTGCTGTATTTCTAAAACCCTAGAGAACTGGGAATGGAATGAGTCTGTTCACTGTTATTATTAGTCTCTAATAAACACTGTTGGTGACCCACTGGAACCTAAATCCTAGCCATTCTTCATATATCTGTTGAAGACCTGGGGCTTTGGACTCAGTTCATACACAACATTTGCCTCAGAAGCAAGGTTCCAGGTTTCCACAGGAGCTCTAATTTCACGAATCACTAGAAACATGAACTAGCAACCAGTACATGGACCCCAATTCTACAAATTGCTCTAACCCCACTAGCTGAAACACCTGAGTAGCTTCAAAGGCTTCATAGGAACAGGTCCAGGATCAGTCATTGCTCCAAAAGGACACATCACTGCTCAGCTGTACTGAACAGCACCTCAGAGCCACTGAACCTGAGAGGCCAAAGACAGCAGGAATGGAACTTGTCCTGTGGGAACACTTGCCCTGCTCCCACGACAGCGGGCGAAGGATCAGGCAAGAAGGCTCATAACAAGACCAGACAAAAGAGAAAACACTGAATCATGTTAAAGTAATTAGCAGAAAATAAGACTTCTGCAAAATATTTGCAATCAGCTCGGTGGAGCCTTCAGGCTCAGTCTTGCACTGGGCTGCCTGTAGCAGCACCACCCCAGGAGGCGCTCCAGGAAGAACGGGTGACTCAGCCGCAGTTCCTCCCTGGCTCCTTCCTCCCGCATGGCACAACAAAGAACTGCAGCCTGTCCCACGTTACTGCCGGCCAGCCTGACAGCACAGACAGCCCTGCTCCCCTCTGCTTGCCCCGCTCTGGGGCAGTGAGGGCACACAGACCCCTCCTCACCCCAGTGTCTCTCCTCTCCTCTCCCATCTCCCCACACCCAAAACTGCTGTCTGAAGCGGCCATATGGGACACATTTATTTCTCACTACTGCCCCGGGGTGCTACTGGGAACAGGAATAATCTAGCGTGGAGATAGCATCAGCATGAAAGAGAAGAGAATCCTAGTTAGGAAGAACATATGTCGTCACTAGGTAATGATAACCACATTTAATGGGCACAAGCATGCATGAATTTCAGAGCTTTCCCCCTTGTTTTAAAATATAGGGGCTTATTATAAAAATGCCTAATCACACCATCAGACACTATACAATATTTATGATAAAAAAATCACAATAATTAAATGCTAAGTGCTGATTTCAATTATTTAGCAGTGGAGCAATACAATAAGCAAATATCTTTAAAACATTATTTTAGTAGACAAATTGCAGAATACAAAAATAACTTAAAAATTACCTGTTAGGACCTTAGACATCCCATAGTAAGATTTAAACTGCAAGGATTTTCAGATCCATTTTTTTGCTGCAAGCTTACAGTGGAGCCTACTATATGGGACAAGAGTGAATTTCTGCCCTGACTGGGTTAGTTACTGTATCACCTTAAAACTAGACACTCGGAAAAAACAAAGGCATCTATAGAGGCCAAAAATAGTGAAGATCTGAAGCAGTGAGGCAGTTCAATCCACAGGGGCCACGTCTGCACATGCCCCTCCACTGAAGGACCTAGGCTGTGTTCATTAGTGTTGGAAAACCTTGGAAGATTATATAAAAATATTTAAAATGGAAAAAAATAGTTCCAAAATATAATGTTTCCTGAGAAATAGCATTCAAATCACTAGAAATCAAGGGCATTCCCAGTAGATACTCTCAATAATCTATCTGTCACAGACAGCTGAAAAAAGGCCTCCACATTAAATATTACTAATTCTGTTCTGGGGCTAAGTAACACTCCTGGATAACTGGTGATAAAAACAACCAGCAAGCACGAGTGAAGCTGTGGCAAACCAGGGGCTGTACTACCCTTAAGCAGGACTGTGCTCATTGTCCTGACCAGGGACAGGACTCTGTCAGTCAGTGATATGAAAGTGGCCGTGCCACCTTCTTTTCTTTTTGGTGTAACTGATGTTACATAAAGGAAAGAACTCCAGCACAGCTCCAAATTTGCAAAGCTCCAGGGCTGTAAGTGTGCCAAACTCACCATTACAGGGCAAAATAATGGATGGATGTGGAGCTTCTAGACTGCCTTCACTCAGCTGTTACCTTGCAGAAGTTGGGATGGATGATACTCAAAAATTCTTCACATTTGGTGTTACTTTAAGAATTCTGTCAAAAAAAAAAAAGAATGCAGCCCACTTCCATTCATGTTTCTGACAAACTTTTGCTTTTCTTGATAGATTTTCAGCTAAAACAAAAACTGAGTTAGAGATTTCCAGTTCAAACTAAATGTCCTATAAACTAAATACGGCTGATTATTCCTTGCTTCCTTACATCCTTCTCATTTACCAAGAACAAAACAAAACTTGTTGAAGAACACATTTTAAAGCAAGAATAATGACCATTCCCAGCCCCAGAGTTCCATTTTTATTGCAAATAAAACAACCTGAAGGTCTTCCATTAGCTTCAGAGGTTGGGAGGGAGTGGGAAGAATGATGTGTTACACTACAGTGAAGGAAGTACATACGCCGACTGGAAAAATGGACTATAAAAAGCTTTTCTTACACAAACATGAGGAAGCAACCAACACCCTCAATTGTTGAAGTGAAAACAGGGAGGCCTAAACACACTACTACAAAAAAAATTAAATTAAAAAAGTTCTGCAATGTGTCACATGTTCCCAATTACTCTCAGATTTGAGAGCCTGGTTCGATAAGGTCCGACTGCAACCAAGAGCAAAAGAGCACAAATGCTGTGGAACTGTAGCAGGCTGGAGACCCTGCTCACACTATCTCTTGGTTTTTTTGGCACAGCACTATGGACTCTCTCCCTCTCTGCAACCTACTGCAAGTTGGGTGAGGAGCCCTCTGCACCTGGAACAAAGGATCAGAGTGCAAAACCAGGCCACGGTGCTGCACTGCAGGAAAGATGGTGCTACCAGGGCAAACACTTCTGCTCCAAGGGCCTTTCCTAAGCAGCAGCATCCCCAGCTGCATGTCAGCAACGCATCCCCTCCACTCAACACAGAAACTTGGTTCACCCAGCTCAGAACCAGTGTGGCACACAGGGGCAAGAACTCCAAGCACAGCTTCAGAAGGTGAAACAGGCTCATTACAAAAGAGGAGATTTATTACAACAAATAGCTAAATAGTGGCAGGACAGAGATGCAAATTCTAACAAGGCAGATTGAGCAAAAAGTAGGTAGACAGTGAGGTTGGCCACACTGGTTTTACATCCTTTGGAGAGACTGCTTCCTGGTCCTCTGCACTGGGCCACTCTCAGTTGAACAGGCAATCCCCATACAGGCTCATGATGCCATCACACAATATTCAAGTGGAAGCAGATAGCCCACATTCTCTCCTGCCCCCAGAACACATCAAATTGTTTTGGAATTTTTGAAAATAACAAGAAACACACTAAACACTTGGACAGTACAGACCTACCAACCTGGGACAAAACTGCAGTCTTCCCCTGCTGCTTGCTTAGGGAAGGTGTTATCATCGCTTTGCCCAGAACACACAGACAGCAACACAGCTCAGCACTTCAAACACCGGGAGAGCCAACACAGGAGAAACCATCCTGGCTTTGTCCCTGGCACCAATGGTGAATGCAAAACAGGATACTGGATTCTTGAACATGTTTTCTTTATTCTGCAGAAGGCACACGAAGGAGTGTGCCATTCTCCCTCCTGATTTCAATCTGGGAATCCATGGCTTTACAGACCTCTTCTCAGACATGGCTCTGAGGAACCTCATTCCTACATGGCTCCTGTTCTCCCACCTTTATGTCTGTGCTCACTTCACCTCATTGCCTGGGTGGGTTTGTGGTTGGCTGCTGTTGTTCTTCTCACATGGAGTGTGTCCATGGGTCTCTCCATAGCTCACACTGTGTACACTTAAAGTCCTTGATAAATATTGTTGGCAGCTCTATTTTTCCCACCTCTTAACACTGACTCCTAACAAATTATTTCTATGTGCACAGCATCGTACAATTCTACAACGTGAATTAAGAAAAAAATAATCCTCAAATCTTACATAATTCTCCTACTTCTAGAGGTCAAGAAGTTCCTTTCTGGATATTCAAACTCAAATGTCAATGATAGAAACTTGCATTTTAAGAAGAGGCAAGCAGAAATTTCTCCTTGACTGAACACGTCGTGCTGTGCTTCTGGGCACACATTACAGTATCTTTTTCGCATCACACCTACCCTACTAAATATACAAAACACTGTGCAAGTGATAGTTTTGTCAGCCACCAGCTAATCAAATGAAAAATTATTAGGCTTAGAAAAATAATAAAAGCAGAAGCCAGCTGTGCATTTGTTGGATGAAAATCCCAGTGTCTCCCATGTTAGCTCATGTGTATTTCAATTTCTGGGAAGAAAATAATGGGAGTTTCTCCACCCTTTCTCATGTGAGCCATAAAACAGATTTATTACCTAGGATATATTCTGTGTTTTCTCCTGAGGAAAAAAGAAAGTGGTGGAACAAGTTCATTTTTTTCCCTTCTAAAACAAGGATTTTCTTTATAATAAACACAGAGCTTAATTTTGGTATCATATGGCCCTTCTATTTAATGCTCTGGTCACACTTTTTGCCTTTCTAAATCTTGAATTGTTGCATTTTCATTTCAGTGGGGAATCTACAGCTGCTCCAGCTGTCTGAGTGTGAAAAGTCTGTCCTAAGATTCCTATCTGGTGTTTTAAAGCAAAATCCTGCCCTCCCCTAAATCAAAGAAATTTAGCATCTACTGAAAAACTATAGAATAACTAAAACCAAAAGAAAAGCTGAACATTAGTCTGTGTTTCTTTTTGAAATAGCTCTTGCTCTGCTTTACCTTACACTCAACTGTCACCCAGTGGCTCTGGGAAATTTGGGCCGCAGACCCAGAAGTTTAGGACAGGGTTGCATCTCATCTGGGAAGGTTATCCTGCACAAACAACTATTTTTTTACTGTAATGGTCACCTTATGACCTTTAAAAATAAATCACGAGAAAGAAGATTTGCTGACTAAAAGATTTTTTTTCTCCTAAAACTCTTAATTTGCTCACAGTATCACGTTACGGTTCTAAAACCTGTGCTGGTAAATCCATTTACAGAAAAGGTGACTTCCTCTGGAACTTTCGCTTTTGAGATGCAGAAGAGTCTGATTCCCATTTTAAACACTTCTGAATCATTTTGTAGCCTGATCCCCCAGTTTAGCGGTCTGGCAGCTTTCAAGGGTAAGACACCCCTTTTTTAAAGGACATCCAGTAGCATGGCTTTTTTAAGTAAATCTGTTGACTCTCAGATTTGTAGCCTAAATGTGTTCTACAGTCTCCCATTGCTAACCAGCACCTCTTGTTCAGTGAGTCACCTTCCTCAACACGGCAGACCTGACATCGCTCATAGTTTCAGTTCTTTCAAATAATCCCATGATATATGAGCATTTACACCAAGTCATAAATGCCAGCGAGACAATTTTTGAAATGACGAGCATTAGCTGCATATAATTAAAATGTACCATAGGAAGTGCATTCATTACAATTGTGAAATTATTTTATTGCTTATGAAAATAAAAAAAATGCACTTTTAATGATACAACTGTGCCAGCACAGAGCTCAAAAGGAAGCTGGCTTGCTTGGGAAAAAAATTGTGCAGGTTTTATTGAAGATTTGTTTCATTCTCATTGTTTTGTGATCACTTACACTGCTCCACAGAGACCAGTAATTGGAAACTAAAACCCCAGTAGCTGAACAGTTTTCAGCCTATTACTGATTTGAAATCCTTCATTTGTACTACCAAGTACATTTTAGTGCAGTCAAACTGCATTTTTACAAAGAGAGCATAAATGCATCCACACATATTCTGGGGAGGAAAACTCTATTATTGCCACTAGACTTACCTTTTTCCTTTATAAAGACATACAAACACAACAAACATGTAATACTGTGTTGAGATTCCAAGTTTGTACAGAAGCATCAGCCCTACAAGTTGAAAAGGGTATCCAAAAAGCAAAGTTCAACCCTTTTTTAAAATCAAGTTTGTCTTCACAAAGCCAGAAATTTATTACAGAAGAGCAGTCACAATAGCTATTTTTTCCCAATGAAGACAGTGCTTCATAGAATATAATTTAAAAAATCAGAATCTGCAGGGTTAAATTCCCCATCTGAACTAATTAGCAATGACTGGTTTACAGTTACTACTGATCCAATGAAACAGGACATTGTTATGGCTGAGCTTGCAGAGAGGCAGTACTCAAATTAAAAATAAGACCTATACAAACACAAAGCACAATACAGCCTGATGTACTTTGTGGTAGAGAGCCAAAAAATGTGTCTCCTTAGAATGTAATAACATATACGGGTCAGTAATTCAACAATTCTTTGCAAAAAGAAACTCACAGTATTCTAAAATGCTCAGAAAAGGTGTAAACGTGGTTAGTCAACAGGTCTGCTCCCCAAATACCTTACAATTCCAACCAATTCCAGTGCTTTAAAATAAGCCTCTACACCAATTAACCAAAATCAGACAATCTATCTGATATTAGAAACCGGCATCCATTCCAGTGCACGCACCAACATAATTTCCATCTGCAGAATCTTTATAATTGATAATCACACATCCAAGCCAGAATAAACACAGTTAGACTTGCTGATCGCAGGGTATTTTTAAAACAAGAAAAAACTAGTTTACGTGTAAATCAATGGAAACATTAACAGGAATCTTTAAAAAACAAGAAATTGCTCAAATAGCTTTTAAAAAATCTAGCAATTTAGTTACAAATAAATTTTTTTAAGATTCCTTTACTTCCGTAACTTACGCAGACAGGACACATTTTTTAAGACATTTCCCAGTCATGGAGCCCTCTCTAAAAGCTTCACAGAAATGCTGCTAAAATTGGGGGTTACTGGAAGGAGTTTCAGAAGGATGAAAGAGACTGTGCTAAAAAGTGGCAAAATGCTCCTCAAAACAATTCCCAGAGGAAAAAGTTATACAGATATTTCCATCTCGTGTGGTCTGTTTTTTCCAGAGCACACACCACGCTTGCTTTCACCTTTTCCATTTCAAAACGAAGCTGCTGAATCTGGAACCGGGATTGTTTCCTACTCTAAACTGGCATTTAAAGGAGTTGTACAAGGCAGTTTCGCTATTTTAAACAACCAGCACTACTGAGGAGAAAAACACAGGAGAAAAAAAGAACGGCCCGGTCAGTGCGCAGTGTCCCCGAGGCTGCGGGACGCGCTCGGCACGACGCGGCCGCGCTGCCCCGCGCTGCCGCCAGAGGGCCACAGCGAGCGAACGGCAGAGCCAGCTGCGAGCCCGCACCGGGCCCAGACAGCTCTGACCGGTTGATAAATACATTATTTTTCATATTACCACACTGTACTTGACAATAACATGTTTTCTTTTGTAAATGCTTCCAACTGAAAGGTATTCAAGCATTTTTAGGTGTTCCTGAGGACTGACACTACTCTTTTGCAAATGGTGGGGAGAGACCCACCCGAGGCCGTGCCTTGCTTCGACAGAACCATAATGAGTACTCAGCCAGTGCTGTTCCTGCCTTACCTCTGTCTGCTCAAGCAGTGTAGTGTCGCTTAAATACCTAAAAAACCCCTCCACTACTCTTTTGAAAATGGTGGGGAGAGACCCACCCGAGGCTGTGCCTTGCTTCAATAGAACCATATGCAGTACTCAGCCAGTGCTGCCTTACCTCTGTCTGCTCAAGCAGTGTAGTGTCGCTTAAATACCTAAAAAACCCCTAATTCTGTTGGTCATAAAAGCACTGGGATTATTATGGGGAGTTGTAAAATTCAGTGCACTAGAACTGTGAGCTCCATCACCACCACTGATATTGATGTCTGATGGGTGTATCAGGAACTCAAGACACATCACTGCTGCCAGAGGAGATCCTGCACGGACTCTCCAGGCAAACTGCTGCAGAGCATCAAGGAGATGTAGACCGTAATCAAACATCACTTTTTTCGAGCAGATGCCTCACGTCAGCTACAGATGCGATACCTCCCTCACTGTGCAGGCTTGAGCTTCTTCCCACCCCTGCTGGAGTGGGGCTGTGCGGGGCTCTGAGGGGCTGTGCGGGGCTCTGAGGGGCCGTGAGTGGCTCCGAGGGGCCGTGCGGGGCTCTGAGGGGCCGTGCGGGGCTCTGGGGCTCTGCAGGGCTGTGCAAGGCTTGAGGGGCCGTGAGCGGCTCTGAGAGGCTGTAAATGGCTGTGCGGGGCCGTGTGGGACTCTGACACTCCGTGCAGAGCTCTGAGAGTCCGCGCGGAGTTCTAAGGGGCCGTGAGGCTGTGAGGGCTTTGGGGCCATGAGGGGATGTGGAGCCGTGCGGGGCTCTGAGGGGCCGTGCGGGGCTCTGAGGGGCCGTGCTGGGCTCTGAAGGGCTGAGCGGGGCTCTGAAGGGCTGTGCGGGGCTCTGAGGGGCCGTGCGGGGCTCCGAGGGGCCGTGCGGGGCTCCGAGGGCCCTCAGGTGCCGCGGGCGGTGGGTGACGTTGCCTCCGTCGCGCGCGCCCTGCACGCGGCAGCCGAGCCTCCAGCGCGCCGTTGCCCTGGCGACGCCCTGCGCATGCGCAGAGCACGGCCGCCTCCCCCGGCCCGTGAGGCGGCGCCGCGCCGATGACAACGGAGAGCTCCTAGCCTGATCCGACCCCGCCGCCACCCCCGCGGCCGAGCGCGGGGCTCCCCCGGCCTCCCTTCCCCCGCTCACCGAGAACCCTTCCGCCCGGCGGGGCGGGTGCGTAGTAGCGATTATTCGGCGATCCCCGCGGGAACCGGGCGGATACGCAGGAACGCCGAGCCGCGCGCGTGACGTCACGGGCCGGCGGAAGGCGCGCAGGCGCTGTCGGTGCCGGCGGGCCGGAGCGAGCGCGGCTCCGCGCGGGGCTCCCGCTCACGGCACCGCCTGCAGCCCCGCTCCGAGGGTCCTGCCCGCTCCCTCACGCTCCGTAACCGGCGCCCCCGGCCTTCAGCGGGAGCCCGAGCGTGTCCCTGCTCCGTGCAGCCCGGCTGTGAAGCAGCCGGCAGGGGCTGGGCCGGGCTGCCGCCGGCAGCAGTCCGTGTGTGACCCGGGCGGTTTCCCACAGCTGCTTGGGGTTAGCGCATTCCTGAAGTAATTTGTCTTCTCCAGGAGCCACTGGGAACTTGGATTGGTTGTGGGATAAAAACCCTGTTCTTTCAGTTCAACATAGCCATACAAGTTTCTCAGGTTGTGCAGGAGAGCTTCCTTACAGCAAAAAAGTTGCATTCTGAATGGTTCTCAAAGGAAGTTACTAGTTAGGTGTCACAGCTGAACTAAATCAGGCAACAGGTGAATAACCCTGTGTGTATTGTTGGAACAGAACTGCTGGATTGCAATTGTACCGTGGTGCTGCAGCCACCACCGCAGCAGGACGTGGGGAAGCGAAGGCAGACGTGTACAGTGACAGCACTGCAGGCAGACGTGTGCAGTGACAGCACTGCAGGCAGACGTGTGCAGTGACAGCACTGCAGACAGACAGTGACAGCACTGCAGGCAGCCGTGTGCAGTGACAGCACTGCAGGCAGACGTGTACAGTGACAGCCCTGCAGACAGACAGTGACAGCACTGCAGACAGACGTGTACAGTGACAGCCCTGCAGGCAGACGTGTGCAGTGACAGCCCTGCAGGCAGACGTGTGCAGTGACAGCACTGCAGGCAGACGTGTGCAGTGACAGCACTGCAGGCAGACGTACTCTTCCCCCTCCCACAGGCCCATTACTCCAGCCACACTGAGACTTGATAAGGAAAGCAAATAAACCATAATTTGCTTGTGTCACCTGTCTAGGAGTTAAAAGCTGTGTCATGTATGTAGTTTGTCAGGAAGCTGTCCTGTTCTAGTTCCAGGTAGAAAGCTTGGTACCTCATAAAACATGCTTTTCAGTTCTGCTACCATTTTTGCCTATGGAACTAGAGTCTTTCAATGCTAAATTAAATCTAATGCTGTTAAATGAGTGCTCTTCTGTTCTACTTCTATTGATGCAAACAAAGGCATGAAGATTTTTGTGAGTTTGGGAAGGTAAATCTGGAGCTTGCTTTTCTACACATATCAAATTTCTCATCAGTAGGAACACTGATTCCCAAATCCTTGCTCTAAAGGGCTTTAAATGGCATGTGGTGGTTATGAGAACATAACCAGGAATGTCCTGAGCACAGATAAATACATTCTGTATTGTATAATGCACAAGTACAGCCCCATATTTCCCAATATGTTTTGCTGAAATTATTTGAATTAAGAGATTTAGAGCAGCAGATCACTGCTATAAATTGCTATGTATAATGGAACCACATGTGCAGTATACGTCAGGTCTTTAATTTGTTAGGGGTATACGTTTATTGGACTATGGTACAGTTACTATTCCCTAAAGTTGCCTTGAAAATGAAATAAATACCCATTTCACAACACAAAGATAATGAGTTGTATGGCAAGATAAGGTGGTTACTAGAACTCAGGAATGACAGAATCCAATTAATTTAACATGAGTTAATGCAAGATCAAATTTACTACAGTTGCATGCAGTTTGTAATTGAAAGTTCCATTACAGCATGTTTTTACATGTTATCTCCTATCAGTAAGAAATCTCAAAAGAGCAAATCCTCTATTTTGAACAGCAGCAATGTGTTTAATATATCATAAATAACTCTTTCCTTACAAGTTTGCTGTAAGGAAGTTCAGGTCCCAAGAGCCCAGTTGTGCACAAGGGGCTGTGCTCTTGCTCTTTCTCACAAGGGAACATGACTGAGCTTAAAGAGAAACCTGGGTTTCATCTTTGAGTGCTTTGTTGGGCTGCCCCTCCCTTGTTACTTGTTCATCCCTTTTCCTATTTTCCAGTCTTCTGGGTGATCACCCCTCTTTGTTTTTTTGGGTGGGAGGGGTGAAATCAGCCCTCTAGTCAAATAAACCTTTCAACCTCCTAACTTCAAAATAAACACTTTTATTGTGGACAGTCCAAGCTCCTTAGGCAAAGCTTTAGGTCTCAAATCCAAAAGATACACTGTGTCCTTTTAATAATTTCATAGTGGAAACTCACTATTTGCCCATTCCTGTGGTGTTATGGAGGTTTTCAATGATTCTGGTTTAGGTTTCGGGATTAGGTGAAACCAGAGTGCCTTAAACCTCTTTAGAGGTTTGGGATTAGGTCTGCATCAGGCCTAATATAGCCTTTCTGTGCAAGGCTAAATTAAATGGCAGGAGTATTTGTTGTGCACTGATTCACAGGTGTTTGGCAAAATACCAGAAAACATAAAGAAACCACTGGAAGAATCATGAAGGCAAAGCCATCGAAACATGAGTACTAGCTAAGTACTGAGGTATCACTTGCAACTGTGGGGTCTTTCAGACTGCTTTTAAGTGATTTTAAGCATGGATATCATTTTTATGTGTCTCTTTCACATGAATGTGAGTAAATTGAAGATCTGTCGTGCAAATGGATCATGGATTTTATTTGGGTATTACATTCTGGTAATTTCTGCCTGTTTTATAGCAAATGTATATTAAAGTTCGTCAAACAGCTGATATCACTGAAACTCTATTGTTTTATTGTACACATAAATTCTATGTCTCCTCTGGAGCATGCATTGGCCTGACAAAATATGCTAGGTCATGAGGAGAAAAATGCAATAGATTTATGCCTACCATTAAAACACTGGCCTGTCTGGCCCAGGAGGCAGAGGCATTTGCCTCACTGATGACCATGGAGGAACTAATTTCATTGTTTAGGCTGTCTACTGTGAGGCTTTTCAGCACTTTTCACTCACTTTGTCTCTGGTAGGGCTCAGTTCTGTAGTTTGTAACACGGGCAAGGCCTGACTCCCTGGCCATCCCCTGAGCAGATTTCATCAAGCACAAGTGCAGCTCCTTGCTGCAGTATCAGGATCTCTGCAAACCACAGCAGCTGGTTTGGCTGCATTTGTAGGGAAAAGCCCATGCCTGGCTCAGCAAACCTGAGCCTGGCATCAGCAGAAGCCAAAGATGGGGAGGCAAAGCACAGTGCCCAGTGGTTCAGTTCCTAGAGCTGCCCTAAATCAGTCACTACCTGAGCATAACTATCTCCTCACACTGAAGTATTCCCTTCATGGATTTTGTGCCTGTCAGCCCTCTACAGAAAAGGGTAGTTTGACTGCATTTATCTACCCAGATAAACAGATTTCAGCTTTGCTTGTAGACTTGCTTGTATTTAGAAAGTTAACTACATCTCAAGAATTGCAGGGCTTCTCTGGAGGTTTTTGCCATACCAAAAATGAGTTCTCCTGCTGCAAACTTTTCTTTGCATTCCTATGTTCCAAGTGTTCTGATCAGCAGTGCATCCAGCCAGGTCCTGTTTTCTCATGTCTGCTTGCAAAAGCAAAACAGAAATAGTTAAATCAAGTTTAACAAGAGTATGCCCTCTCTAATCAGATGAGCTGTAAAATAAGAGGGAGGCTAACTAAAGGGATTTAATAATCTTAGAATCTGTAGAAAACATTATTTATGGCTTAAGAGCTACATAAGTCTTGAGCTTTAAATGTAAGTTTTCTCCTTCTTTAATGGTGCATGTAAGGAAGAGCAAGAGAGAAATGTTCCAGTCAAGGACAAAATCATAAAATAATGAGCAAAAGAAGAATGAAATGAAAGTATTAGGGGCCAGGGGAGGCTGAGTGGGAGTTGGTCTTCATACATGATTGATCTAAACTTGAAAAGGAAAAAAATAAAAGACTCCTCATCTTTAAACAAGATGGTTATTTGAGCATAAATAACAGTCTCATGTCAAATATGCTATTTCCAATGGAGTCTTTTCAGTACAAAACCACAACATTCTCAGCCCTAATCTCCTCAGATAAAACAATACGGCTGGTGGCTGTGAATAAGCACTTTGAAACCAACCTCTGAAAACAGCAACACGTTCAGGGTGAAGAGAAACAGAGGAGACAAAGAGCTGCTGTTTATAGATCTTTGCCAAGCAAGGCAGCACCTGGCTTGCTTGGAAATGTGCTGTAACACCTGAGAATTGCTTCTCTTTGGGTGGGAAGTCCAGCTCAGCACAGCCAGCCCAGAGGACTGGGGCTGTTCATGTGTCTGTGAGTTTGGTCCCACACCAGGCTGAGCTGTCACTGAATCTGCAACAATGAAATGCCAAAATCCTCCTGGATGCTTGAGCCTTGAGGTGTGTGAGGAAGGGTATGGTGAGAACAAATAGCTGGGCTCTCTGTGACAAAATGAGCACTCCTCCTTTCCCAACCCGTTTGCAGCCACATAGTGATGTCCCCTCCCGCGTGCTGACCCCAGCACTCATCTGAGCAGCATCAGGACTGATGCAAGGCAGGAGCAAGGTGCCAGGAAAGGAGAGGGCCTGGAAGGGAGGGCAGTCACACTGGAAGAGACCTCCCCTGAGCAGTGGCACTGAAAGGAGCAGGGACACAAAGGTTTCCATGCAGAAGATGACATCTCACCTTAAGCAGGAAGCTCATTTCCCTCCACACTCAGTGAGGAAAAGCAGGCTATTAACCACATAGGAACATCCCCTTTTTTTCTCATTCCACTGTTTCCTAACATAACACACTTAAACAACAAGCTTTGAAATCCAGAAATGCCATCCCATGGGAAGTGGGAGAAGACTTTTGTCTCAGCACAGACCCCCAGCTGTTCTCTGACTAGAAGGACCTTGCACTGGTGGTGGGGGATGTCCTATGGCAGCAAGACTTGGAGCACGATCAAATGAGGAAACACTGTGGCATTTGCACTTTCATGTGGGTTTTAGGGGCACTGTCCATAACTCAGAAAAAGTCCTGATATTTTTGAGCCCCTCTCAGAAAAAAAAAAAAAAAAAAAGGAAATGAACTGGGCATTGTTCTCCTCAAAGAGATCACTGTAAAATGGCCTTTGGACATGGTCTGGAGGCATCAGCTGCACAACCTCCCCATCAGTGCTACCCTTCCAGCAAAGCTTCTGAGGCAGGGCTCAGATGAGGGAGATGTTGACAGGATGCCAAATCCTAACCCTCTGGAACTAGACAGAAAAGAGAACCAAATGGCAAACCTGTATCTGTGTCCAGCTGCAAAAGCCCAAGCTTCTGTTAAGTCTGAAAAAAAACCTTTGATCCAAACATCCCCACTTTTTAGGTTTTCCAAACTCAAGTGAAAACACAGCGGTTTCACCCTAGCTTGAAATATAGCCTCACACCTTTGATTTCTGAGGAGAGATCATTTTTCTTGGGGTGAGGCACGTGGACAGCAACAGATCCCTCATGTCTGGTCCAGAGAGGCC